TTTAGCATTCCATAGACCACCCATGCAAAGGCTTCCCCAGCTCATCGCACCCTTACGCGTCATTCTCAGTCAGTATCAGTGATTGACCATACAACCCCTTCATCCAATCTTGTTAATTTGTAGCACACCAAAGATCGGAATCCCTGTTTGTTAATGTTGCTCGACCATAGGCAATTTACTTTGTTACTTTTTTTTCCTTGGTTGATTGTCGTATGGACCTCTATAAATGAATATTTGAATGTTGCTTAGTTCAATTCTAATGAAAATGAATTGTTTAATGTTGATTAAGATATAGATGTCGTTACCGTGGGTTATTGAAAATTTGTAGGTATGAATAGCCGATGGAGTGTCGGGAATCAATCCCCGAGTAGTTTGCAGTATGATACTAAGTATTGCTATTGCAAATGGAAATGCATCCTTCGAATTTCAACAACTCAAAATAACCCACAAAAATTGTTTTATAGTTGTCGATTAAAATCTGAGGAAATATTTTTAGTGAGACAATACTATTTGTTAGCATTGATATAAGGCATGTATATTGCAAGTGACATGACTGAATAGCCCAACAACTGAAAACGATTCTACTGGCGGTTGCAAATTTTTTGAGTGGGTGATTCCTCAAGGTTGGTCGGATGAGGTTACAACAGGAAATAGTCATGGTGATGAGTGGCAGTAGGACGGAGTGGGTTTGGTGGGCAGTGAACCCCTCTGCACCTGCCAGTGCGGCCTTCAGGTGATTCTGCAATTTCTGAGACATGCTCCCGAAGGGGGGCACAAGGGTAGATGGGCAGTGATACCACCTCCACAAGGTGGACAGAGGTCTCTTGGACATCCTCAAAGATGGTAGAGACGCCTCAAGCCAATAGGAAGGCCAACGGTGAGAAACAGTGCTCTTGCAGAACCACTGCTTTCCACTATCAGTCCAGGCCGTCAGGCAGATAGGAGACCGGAAGGTGTCGAGATGCTCGGTGGGTGAGTAGGGAGTGGGTTTGGTGGGCAATGAACCCCTCCGCACTCGTCGAAGCAACCTCCAAGTGATTCTACAATTTTCGATTTGCAGTCCTGAAGGGGGGCATGGGGGTTACGGATGGCGATACAACCTCCACGGGGTGGGGAAAAGTCTCTTAGACATCCTCAGAGGAGGCAGAGATACCCCGAGGCAATGGGGAAGCCCGACGATGAGAAAATATGCTTTTACAAAACCACCATTTCCCACCATCGGTCCAAGCCGTCAAGCTGATGTGAGACCATAAGGTGTCGGGATGCTTGGTAGGTGACTGATAGTTGGAGGGAGTGGGTTTGGTGGGCAAAGAACCCCTCTACACCCGTCGGAGTGGCTTTCTGGTGATTCTACCTTTTTTGAGACGCAGCCCTGAAGGGGGGCATGGGGGTACACAAGTGGCAGTACTACATACACAAGGTGGGGAGAGGTCTCCTGGACGTCCCCAAAAGAGGTGGAGATGCAAACGAGGAAGGCCAACGGTGAGAAATAATGCTTTTGTAGAACCACTATTTTCCACCGTAGGTTCGACTTGTCATGGCAATGGGTAGCCGAAAGGTGTCAGGATGCTCGTTGGGTGAGTGGCAGTAGGAAGGAATGGGTTTGGTGGGCAGCAAACCCCTCCACACTCCTTGAAGTGGCCTCCAAGTGATTCTACCATTTCCAAGATCCGGTCCTAGAGGGGAGGTGCGGGGGTAGGTAGGCGGCGATACCACCTCCATTAGGTGGGGAGAGGTCTCCTGGGCGTCCCGAAAGGAGGCAAAGACATTTCAAGCCAACAGGGAAGGCCAACTGTGGGAAACAGTGGTTTTGTCCCACCATCAGGGCGATGGATGGCCGTAAGGTGTCGAGATGCCCAGTGGGTGAGTAGCAGCAAGTGGGAGTGGGTTTGGTGGGCAACAAACCCCTTCGCATCTGCCAAAGCGGCCTTCAGGTGATTTTGCAATTTTCGAGACATGCTCCTGGAGGGGGGCGCAAGGTTTGACAGGTGGTGGTACCACCTCCACAAGGTGGATAGAGGTCTCTTGGACATCCTCAAAGATGCTAGAGACGCCCCGAGCCAACGGGAAGGCTGATGACGTTTTTCACCGTCAGTTAGGGTCGTCGGGCAGATGGGAGACGGGAAGGTATCGAGATACTCGGTGGGTGAGTGGCACTAGGAGGGAGTGGGTTAGGTCAGCAATGAACCCCTCCGCACCTGCCGAAGTAACCTCCGAGTGATTCTGCCATTTCTGAGTCAGTGTCCCAAAGGGGGCACGGGGGTTGACGGAAGGCGGTACAACCTCTATGAGGTGGGGAGAGGTCTGCTAGATGTCCCTAGAGGAGGCAGAGATGCCCTGAGCCAATAGGGAAGGCTGACAGTGAGAAACAATGCTTTTGCAGAACAACCGTTTCCCACCATCGGTCCGGGCGTTGGGCTGATGTGCAACCAAAAGATGTCAAGATGCTCGATGGGTGAGTGGCAGTTGGAGGGAGAGGGTTTGGTGGGTAGAGAATCCCTCTGCACCCGTTGGAGTGGCTTTCAAGTGATTCTACCATTTCCGAGATGCGGTCCCGAAGGGGGTGTGGTGGTATATGAGCAATGGTACCACATACAAGGGGCGGGGAGAGGTCTCCTGGACGTCCCTAGAAGAGGTGGAGATGCCAACGGGGAAGGCCGACAATGAGAAATAATGGTTTTGCAAAACCATCATTTCCCACCGTCGGTCCGAGCCGTCAAGCTGATGAGTGGCCGGAAGGTATCATGATGCTCGGTGAGTGAGTGGCAGTAGGAAGGAATGGGTTTGGTGGGCAGCGAACCCCTCCACACTCTCTGGAGTGACCTCCAAGTGATTCCCCAAAGGGGGCGTGGGGGTAGACGGTCAGCGGTACCACCTCAACAGGGTGGGGAAGGTTTCCTGGATATCCCCAGAGGAGGCAGAGATGCCCCGAGCCAATAAGGAAGGCCAACGGTGAAAAATAGTGCTTTTGTAGAATCATTGTTTTCCACCGCCAATCCAGGTCATCGAGCTGATGAGTGGTCGAAAGGTGTTAGGATGCTCGATGGGTGAGTGGCAATAGGAGGGAGTGGGTTTGGTGGGCAATGAAGCCCCCCGCACCCACCGGAGCGGCCTTTGGGTGATTTTGTCATTTCCGAGACACAATCCCAGAAGGGGGGTGTGGGTGTAGACGGGCGACGGTAGCACCTCCACGGGGTTGGGAGAGGTCTCATAGACATCCCTAGAGGAGGTGGAGATGTCCTAGTCCAATGAGGAAGGCCGACGGTGAGAAACTGTGCTTTTGCATAACCACCGTTTTCCATCATCGATCTGGGCCGATGGGCGACCGAAAGGTGTCAAGATTCTCGGTGGGTGAGTGGCCATAGGAGGGAGTGGGTTTGGTGGCCAACAAACCCCTCCGTACCCTCCGAAGCAGCCTTCGGGTGATTCTACCATTTCTGAGACGCAATCCTAAAGGGAGGCGTGGGGGTAGACAAGCAGCGGTACCACCTTCACGGGGTGGGGAGAGGTCTCCTAGACGTCCCTAAAGGAGGCACAGACGCCCTAGTCTAATGGGGAAGGCTGATGGTGAGAAACAGTGATTTTGCAGAACCACCGTTTCCCATTGTTAGTCCAAGCCGTCAAGTTGATGGGCGACTGAAAGGTGCCGGGATGCTTGGTGAATGAGTGGAAGTAGGAGGGAATGTGTTTGGTTGGCAGCGAAGCCCTCTACACCCGTCGGGTGATTCTGCCATTTTCGAGACATGGTCATAGAGGGGAGGCACAGGGTAGACGGGTGGCGGTACCACCTCCACGGGGTGGGGAGAGTTCTCCTAGGCGTCCCCAAAGGAGGCAAAGACATTTCAGGCCAACAGGGAAGGCCGAGTGTGGGAAATGGTGGTTTTGTCCCAATGTTAGGGCAATGGATGGCCATAAGGTGTCGAGATGCCAAGTGGGTTTGGTGGTCAACGAACCCCTACGCAATTGTCGGAGCAGCCTTCGAGTAATTCTACAATTTTCGAGACATGCTCCCACGGGGGGGGGGGGCACAAGGGTAATTAATACCACCTCCACGAGTTGGACAGAGGTCTCTTGGACATCCTCAAAGATGGTAGAGACGCCCAGGGTTAATGGGGAAGGCTGACGGTGAGAAATGGTGCTCTTGCAGAACCACCATTTTCCACCGTCAATCCGGGCCGTCAGGCAGATGGGAGACTAGAAGGTGTCGGGATCCTCGGTGGGTGAGTGACAATAGGAGGGAGTGGGTTTGGTGGGCAACGTGCCCTCCACACCCACCAGAAAAACCTCTGGGTGATTCTACCATTTCTGAGACGCGCTCCCAAAGGGGACACGAGGGTCGATGGGTAGTGGTACCACCTCCACAATTTAGGGAGAGGTCTCCTGAACGTCCCTAGAGGAGACAGAGACGTTTTAGGCCAACGGGGAAGGCTAACGGTGGGAAACAATGCTTTTGCAGAACCACCATTTCCTACCGCTGGTCTAGGTTGTTGGGTCGATGGACGGCCAAAAGGTATCCGGATGTTAGGTGGATGAGTGACAGTAGAAGGGAGTGGGTTTGGTGGGCAACAAACCCCTTTGCACCTGTCAAAGTGACCTTCGGGTGATTTTTCCATTTCCGAGACACATTGCTGGGGGGCACGGTGGTAGATGGACGGCGATACCACTTCCACGAGGTGGGTAGAGGTCTCCTGGGCATCCTCAAAGATGGCAAAGACGCTCTGGACCAACAGGGAAGGCCAACAGGGAGAAGCAGTGCTTTTGCAGAACCATCGTTTCCCACTATCAGTCCGAGCCGTCAAGCCGATGAGAGACCAAAAGGTGTCGGGATGCTCCGTGGGTGAGTGGCAGTAGGAGGGTGCGGTACCACCTCATAAAGTGAAGTAAATTTAATCATCAATTGTGACGTGCAAGCCTATACTACACTTTTGGCACGTAGACATATAGATAAACCTAAGAGAATTCAATTGGCACGTGTAAAATGCAGTCACGTATTAGCAATACATGACTACTTCCATTAAAATTTCCACATACATGTTATAATAGCATAAAGGAAAATGAAGGTTCCTAACACTCGTAGTGGGGATGGGAGCGGTAGGAACGATACAACTATTGATCAAAATATATGGCCATTATCCTCATATTACAGATTATTGCTCGATACACTGATTTCGACCCACACCCTTATCTCTAATTTCACGTCCAAGTTCCAAATTTCGTTGTCTCAAAGCCAAATTCTTTTGCATCAAAGTGTTCACATCTCTTTGTAGGTTCCAACTATGCCTAAGAGCGTGGTAGTATTCTGGGTATGTAACATCCACCACACGGATGCGGTGGGCTTCTCTCCTTGCCCCTTGCTGCCCAGGAGCTAGGTAAGGTGACACCACCATGTTGCTTTGCTTTCGTTCTCTCCTTGCCCAGGGAAACTTACATTTGTAAGTAAAGGCAATTGAGGGAGAAACATTAACAATCTCGCAAGATGAGGCTACAATGCTAGTCCTTTCAGGAGATTGCTCTGCCCCCGTGGTGTCGCATGCAATTCTAGTAAGCAAGTCTGCATCATAATCATCATTGTCTGGCATGCAGGTTGCTAAACCTACCAGCCCCTCACTAAATGGTACTGCATCCGAGTCAAACCCATTATTTCTTAGCATTCTGCAGAGCCTATTAACTTCATCATAAAGTGCCTCATTCTGCTTTCTTGTCGAGACATACTTATTGGTCTCTGTACAAAGAATTTGATATTCCATAAATTTCATGCAAGATTTGCAAAATCACTAAAAAATCAAGTTAGAATCTGGTTAACAAATCTCAACACTAGCAATAAGTCAAGTTGTATATGACTCAAAACATGTATGATACGCTAATAATACATTTTACCCTTCCGACCCCACTCGTGACTAGTATTCTCTCTATCAGAAAATGGTTGCTCACCCACACTACGACCCCTTGGGTCCACAAACTATATATGAACACCAAAGGTTAATTACTACCATGTACTTGGGTCACATAAATGACTCCATGAAAAAGAAAAAAAAAATAATATCATTAATCATTAATTCAACTTACACAGCCCTCTGACCGTACCTCCACTAAGGCCACCTCCTTGTCAATAGGGTTCAAAACCTCAATAACCTGTAACAGATTTACAAATCCATATAAGATCTTCGGTCTCCCCACAACTAAGCAAATAAAAACTATAAACACCATAAGTAGAGGAACATAAGTGACAACCATTTGTAGCCTAGCTTTCTTCAACAAATCAGCTATCTTCATCTTCCACTGATACCCCATGTTCCCCCACTTAAATAGACGAGGACTGACATAGGGAACTGAAGGACTGAATAACATTGTGTGCTCGTAAAGCCATGCCTACAAAAAGCAAACAACCAATAAGTGATCCTCAATTGAATGAGATTAACATAAAGTAGAAATAAAAAATGAATGTCATCTACACTAACCATCAACACAACGCTACATCCAAATAGGCAACCACTATACAAGGATGAGCCTTCGCTCGATCCAGTACCAGAACCAGAAACAAACTAATCAAGACCACCGTCCAAGAATTCATATACACATTTGCTCCAGGCATAATCACCGATACATTATAAATCGTCAACGTATCCAACCAAAAAGGAGCTCACCCTCAAACTGCCTTGGGGAAACAACACATAACCGAATAAGAACAAAATAACCAGCTACACCACCTCCTCAATGTGCTCCTCACCATCTAACAGAACAATCTTTTTTAATCTACGCCACACCAGATCCAACTCTACAGAGGTAGAATGATTTTTATCAAAGCCAAACGATTTTTTGAACAATCCACTACCGGGAAGGCCTTCTAATAGGGCATTGTACTACCCGATAGGCCAAGCCCCGTTATCAAGGCAACATCGACCTCGCTGAATTGCACAGTCCTTTCACCAACTATAAAGCAATGGCTAGTCGAGTCCCACGATTTTACTAGATAACCCAAAAGGAACGTCTCCACAGTCACCTGTGGCAAATCCAAAAAGTGTCCAAAGGGAGTCTGTTGGAACCTTCTCTTGTGCTCCAAACTTAGAAACAAACTGTACAACATTTCCCTAAATCGTTTTGGGGAGCACCTTGTCCTAACTTTGTCACCTGACATTTCCTGTCAGGAATTTAACACCCTAACGTTAGCACAAGAGACAATCCAAACACAGTGTACCATTTCAATTTCAGATAAAGATGTCAAAACTCAATTATCACTTAACAAAACTAACAAATCAATTCCCAACAATAAGCCACCTAATATAGGGTATTCACCAAAATAAATGTACTGTACAATTAAATAATAGTTCAATGGAAGCAAAAGTTAAAAATCTTTGTGGTGCTGTAGCCCATTTTCAATTTATTGAAGAATCTGGAAAGAAAGAAACAGAAGACTCTTCAAGGACAAGACAGAAATATGGGCAGCTTGTGTGATGTAGGAAATATGACAGTTGATTGGGTGCTGGTGTTACCAGAATTCTCAAGATTAGATAAAGCTTCTTTTGGTTTGAGTTTTCAGAACACACACAAGTAAGGTTGGAAATTCTGTTTTAGATAGATCTCTTCGAAGTTTTTGTCCTTGTAATAATTTTTGAATTAGTACATGCTTTGTTCTTGGGTGCCGCCAGGTCAATACCCTACATTTAGTATTGTAGTAACCTTTTCCTTTATTTTAACAATATTTCATTGATTTACTATCAAAAAATTGTTCTTTTCATTTCTTTTTTAATCACCAACAGCAATAAAGAAATTTTATTCATATAATGAAAATGTAGAGAACCCAGCATTCTGAAAATGACTGCAAGGAAAAGGTACAACACTGCCAAGTGACAAAACATTTGCTAAGAACCATTGCATAGACTACTTGAATTAGCCCCCAGGCCAGGTCCCCCACCCCATCCCATACCATATCAAAGAACCATTGCATAGACTACTTGAATTTGCTAAGAACCAAAGCATCCACTAGGCTCTTTGCTAACATTGAAGTCCATCCAAACAAACTGTTCAAAGTAGTTAACGGTACTTCTACTTCTCTCGTTGAATACTTGAGACTCGAAGGACTTCCAAGTTGGTGTTAATTTCAGCTCATAGAAGGAGTTAGTGTTAAAACCTTGTAGGAGAGCAAGTTCAGTCCTTAAAGGATCTCCTAATTTTAATTTTCTTCACAAACCGGGTCATAGAAGCTAAGTACATGGAAACTGAAAACATTTCCCACTACTGATTGTTTAAGGATCTCCTAATTTCAACTAGCATGGTACAATCTTTACTCTTAAAATTGTTTTTTAATTATAAAATTTTACACACTCCAGCAGAAAGCCGTTCTTGATAAAGTGTAATGCAGCCAACCCAAATAATTAGGATGAAATCTTTTTTGAGTTATCTTTCAAAGCAGAAACATGATTTTGGAATATACTTGGAGAAGAAATTAATAAGTCAATATAGATAGAAAACATAATTCTCTTAAAAAAAAATTGCCATTATCGGCAATGACGGTTTAGTATGAAGCAGAACCCACAGAAAAAAAAAGAGTAAATTAGTGAGAAAGAAGACAAACTCAAAAGGAAGCCCGACACCCAGATTGAATTCCACCGGAGTTGACACCAAGCACTGTAACAAAGCAAAAAAAATTAGTGAGAAAAGCAGTAAATTAGTGAGAAAATAAGATCGTGAACTCCAGGGAGATCTTCTGATCACATTACCGAATGATAATAGGGGTTTCTTCTGATCACACCAATCCAGTACCTATCATTAACTAATTTGTTAACCAGCTGTTAAATGATATTTGAAAAAGATATAAATTCCCTTTGAAAGTCATATAATTCTTTGTATCAACCATCCAAATGTTGACAAAAAATGAACAATCCCAAATTCTTACCTCTTCTATTCAAGAAAATTGAATCACATCTAGATGGTTGATAAAGAATTTGGGACTATTCATTTTTTGTCAACATTTAAATGGTTGATAAAGAGAATTAGATGACACTTGAAGGATATTTATATCTTTTTAAATGTCACTTAACGACTGGTTAATGGATTAGTTAGATAAGTACTGGATTGACAAGTTTTGAAAGTTCAAGTACTGAATTGTCCTGTTTTAAAGCTCAAAAACTAAAGTGACACTATACCCAAAGTATAGGGTACTAAATGAGAATTTTTTCAAAAAAAAATCATGTTTTTAAAAACAAAAATAACTGTTTTTTTTTATCAAAAACAAAACCAACCATGTTGTTTGGTACCCCTAAATGATGAAAATACAAATTATCAAGGAGCCGGGTTTAATTTGGGACAGAGTGCATCAGTCTCAAAATAATATTAAGAGTGAATTTCTTAAACTATCTTTATCCTTAGCTAATTGACTAAGTCTACCTTTATTGTTTGAAAATTGATTAAAGTTACTTTTACTGTTTCTGAAAATTACCTAAAACTTCCCCTACCGTTAACATCGCATGATCATTATATTTTTTTAAAATCCCTAATATACCCTTTTATGGTCGAAAATCCTAAACTCTTCGAATCCGTGGTATTGCAGAGGTTTTCCGGATTAAGCCCAGTTTCGAACCTCATCGTCGACTATTGTGTTCGAACTATAAGCACCTCACCGACTGAACCCGGCGAAAGGAATAGCCGAGTGTTCGAACTGTAAGCAGTTTGAAAGATGTGATCTGGTCTGAGTAAGAAAGGGAAGCTGGTCTGCAAAGCAATTCCTGCTATCATCCTAGTTTCTCTGTGGTCTGAAAGGAATAGCCAAGTGTTCTGCAGTAAAGCCAGAGCTCCTAAAGATCTGTTAAAGATTGCACTCAGCAGACTTGCTTCCTGGTTATCTGTTGTTTCAGAATTTAAAAACCAGAATGTTTTTCAGCTTCTTGAATCTCACCGATTGAACCCGAGATGAGGTAGGCGAGGCAAGGTGGGGGAGGGAGGGTTTGGCGGCGACAACTGTTGTGTTGTATTATCTCATAACCGGCGACAAATATAAGCACCTCACCGACTAAACCAGAGATGCAGCAGCGAGGTGAGGTGGGGGAGGGAGGGTTTGGCGGCGACAACTACTGTGTTGTAATACCTCATCACCGGCGACAACTGTAAGCACCTCACCGACTGAACTAGAGATGCAGCGACGAAGTGAGGTGGGGAGCTTGCAATCGAACAGGGATTTCTCTCTTCTTCGCCTTCTCTGCAATCGAACAAACCGAACAGGGATTTCTCTCTTCTTCGCCTTCTCTGCAATCGAACAAAACCAAACAACTCTACTAGGCTCTTTCTCTCTCCCCTTATTTGTCTTCTCTACTATCGAACAAACCGAACAGGGCTCTCTCTCCTCTTCTTCGTCTTCTATGCAATCGAACCATTGTCCCTGTCCTAAAGCGAACCCTCTTCTTCGTCTTCTTTGCAATCAAACGCCTGTTCTGAAGCGAACCCAGTTACTCATGTCTTCTTCGTCTTCACTTTCTTGCACCGCTGCTGCAACTCCTAGCAGCGGCGTCGTCTCAAATTCAAGACCCTAACCACAAAGTGACGACGTCTCTCTCCCGCTGTCTCCTCCTGCTTCGTTGAAGACATGAGACGATTACAAGTTCTCCGGTCAGGGTCAGAGTGAGAGTGGTCAGGCAACTTCCGGGGGCGGTGCGATTTTGTCGGTCGTTATCCTTGAGATTAATTTTGGTAAAGATTAGGAAACTTAGAAGAAGAATGGAGGAGCTTCAAACTCTGGTAAAGCATCGGAAACCTAGAAGAGGAACGAAGGAGCTTCGAATTTAATTTAAGGGTAAAACGGATATTTTAGCCCTTCCGTCAATATTTTAACGGTAATGGTGGTAACTTTCAAAAACAGTAAGAATAATCTTAATCAATTTTTAAATAATAAAGATACACTTAGTCAATTAATTAAACTATAGTTTAAAAATATTTATCCTAATATTAATCTATTGATCAGTTTCATAAATTAGATTTAAAAACCACAGAATAATCGGGTCTGACCCGATTATTTAGGCCCAATTATTCTTGACATCTATGATTATCTTAATCAAAATTATCTTATAGGCTTTAAAATATATCCTAACTATATAATGGGCTCGGGTATCCCGAACCGATTAATAAATCGGGAGACAAATCAAATAACCGGAGCCGATATTAATCGGTTCGGTTTTATCGGCCATATATTCTTCATTTCTTCCCGAATTCCCAAGCGGCCAAACTGAAGCCGTTGACACACCTTCTCTCTTCCCGCGAAGTCAAAGCAGAAAAGCATTTATTATTCAACGGGAAGATTCTTGCCTGTTGTTCCTTTGAAGCTTCAATATCCTGTAAATTCCTCACGCTTTTTAAGAAAATCTGCGTTATTTAGCAACATTTTTTTTAGGGTTGCAGAGGTTTTCTCTTCTTCGATGGAAGCAGAATATCCACCACGTTCTTCAGCTGCAAGCAGTAGCGGCAGACTTAGCGGAGGACCCAAATCTCAGTCTACCGATCACGAAGAGGAGGTTTTGTATTTTTCCCACTTTTCAGAAACGCTTCTGCCTCCTCTGTTTCTTCTTACTAAAACATATTAGTAAAGAAATCAATTCGTATGATGATCACTCAAATTAGCACTCTGTTTTTCTGATTTTCTAGTATTTTGCTGTGAAAATGAATTAGCTACATTTCTTTTGTTTCTTTTATCTCTTTAATAGGTTGCTCTTTTTTCCAAAAAAAAAAAAAACACACACTATCACACTGCTATCCTCTTGGCTTAAAATTAAAGCAAACTGATATTTCTCAGGAACTTGTTTAGAAGTTATAACTACAACATATCTTCCCAGGTAGGTTTACTCACTCCAAACTAACTGCTTGATGCTCAGAGCTCAAGCAAAATGTCTAGTTATCCTTATAGTTCTACTAGGGGCAACATGCACAGGTTCAAAAAATTTACATTTTGTTCAGATAGCACGTAGATATCATTGAAAAGTCCCCCCCGATCACAGTATCATTTGTAAGGTTTGCTCCTAGTATCCTACTATCATCAGGAAAGCATAATCAGTCAAGTATCAAAAGTATCCTAGATGTAGCATGACATTGCTCTGTCCCCTCCATTAAGGAGGATTAATAGGTCTTTTAATATGTTCCATCAGCCTCTTGACCCATATTCATTGAATCCAAACCTCAGAAGAACGTTTTTTTTCTAAATCACATCTTACTGCACACTTTTTGGCCACTCATACTGTTATAAACTTTATATAAATCAAGTTTGGATTTCATCCATCCTGCTGCATTTTCTTTTCCAGAGTCTGTATGAGTTCATTTATGATATTGTTGACAGATTTCTCAGGGGCAAACTCCTAGAGAAACGATCTTCTGTAAAACATGATTTTAAGATCCTTTGGAAGGTGTTGCAAATGGAAAGTTGGCCAAGGATATTTTAGTAAATCATCTTCGCTTGGACTTTTGGATGTAGAGTCACCTTTACATCTACCATAATTTCTTTACCTTAATAAGACTGATATTGTCCTTGTAGTATAAATTCAAGACTCTGTCCTCCCCTGTTATCCATCTCAGACTCAGAGGTGTGCATGTTAGTAAAATGCTTATTTATTACATTTCTTCTTTGCCCTCTCATAGGTTCAAGCACCTAGCCACTTTCATCCATGATCTTGCTCTTCCATCCATGGGCTATAATTGTCATGTGAAAGGTTTTAATATTATTGTCATCAACACTAAGGACTCATTTGGGAGGGCTGAAGCTTTGATTGAGCTGCTTTGAAGAAGCCACTATACGAAGTTTTGGCAGGAAGCCATATTTCTGGCTGAAAGATAGCTATTTTGGGCTCTCCAGGATTTTCACCAAACATAACTTATGGGCTGTCCGGACGGGATCTACGTCATAAAGCCAGAAGCTGCTACGTAAAGCCCTCCCAACAGGCACTAAGCCATCTGGTCCTAACTTTATGTGCCCATATTTTTCTCTGATTTTTAACTAGGTCAAAATGCCCAAATAGATATATTTTTTACCTGTCTTAATTCAAGGGTTGGAATTAATGTGACCTCTAATCCATAGGATTATTAGCAAAATTCCTCATAACTACTCATTTAAAGGGTTGTGTTGAGGGCCCGCGAATAGGATCTTGTCACGGGTCGGTCCACGGGGAAAACCTCCTATTTTCCCTTGTTCCTCCCTGCTCTTGATGAACCTATCTTGGCGCCTTGGTGATTTGTTCAAGAGATCGCCAACTCTCCTAACTCACTTCTGGACTGAATATTCGATGCCTTCATTCAATAATGGTGTCTCCTTAAATAGGAGATTACAAGAGTCCTAATCCTAGGGAGACTCCTTGCTGAATAGGGAGACCTCCTGCTCTATCTTGATAACATAAGACTGATAGGATAAGATAAGTCTCTCTTAATCCTAATCTGATAAGATAAGATAATCTAATCTACTAATCTTAATAAGATAAGATAAGAACAAGTAAGATAGTCTAATCTAATCTGATAAGACTGTTGCTGCCGAACTAGGTAGGATGAGAACATTGGATCACTGCTGCTGCAGGTGGCGATGATATTTCTTCCCGAGGAACGCGTCCATATCATTACTCCCCTCCTGGACTAAGAGCTTGTCCTCAAGCTCGAACTCTGGATACGTGACTTGGAACTCGGTCAAGGGAATCTAGGTGGCTTCGGCCGATGGTAGGCTGTCCCATTCCACCAAAACTTCAAGAATACCTCGATTGATACGAGAGTGGATGAGAGCCCTAGGCTGGGGAACAAGTTTGTCTTCTTTCAAGGGTGGCAAGGAGGAAACTTGGTCCGGAGGAACACCCGTAAATGGTTTTAGGAAGGAGACGTGAAAAACATCATGAATCCGACTGTTCTCTGGTAATTCCAGCTGGTATGCCACAGTGCCAATCCGCCGCAAAACCTTGAAGGGGCCATAGAACTTAGGGGCTAGTTTAGGGCCAGCCCTGTGGCGCAGGGAGCATTGCCGGTATGGCTGGAGTTTCAATCAAACAAATTGTCCTGGTTCAAACGACAATTCCCGATGGTGCTTGTCATAGGTGAGCTTCATGCGGAGCTAGGCCTGCTGTAAGCGAAGGTGTACGTCGGCTAGGAGGGCGTCGCATTCCTATAAGGAGCGATCAATTTCCTCCAATCAAGTAGAACCGGGTTCATAGGATAACAAGCGAGGAGGGTCCCGGCCATAGACGATGCGAAAAGGGGTCATGCCGAGGGAAGAATGGTAGGCAGTGTTGTAATAGTACTCGGCCCAAGGAAGCCAATCTACCCACCGTCGCGGTTGATCCCCCTACGAAGCAACGGAGATACATCTCGATCGTGCGGTTTACCACCTTCGTCTGTCCGTCGGTCTGTGGATGATATGGTGAGGATAAGGCCAGGGTGGTGCCATGTAGCCGAAATAACTCCTTCCAGAAGGCACTAGTGAAAATCGGGTCCCTGTCGCTGACGATGGATTCCGGTAACCCATGTAAGCAGAAAACATGTGTAAAGAAGGCGAGGGCAACCGAAGTGGCATTGTACGGGTGTGATAGAGGAATGAAGTGGGCATATTTAGAGAAGCGATCTACCACCACGAACAGGACTGATTTGTCGCCTACCTTGGGTAGCCCTTCGATGAAGTCCATGGAGATGTCGGCCCAGATCTGTGTCGGAATTGAAAGGGGCTGAAGGAGGCCTGTCGGGTGCAAGTTTTCCCCTTTATGCTGTTGGCACGTGGAGCAATTTTGGACAAAATCCCGAACAGAAGTCTTCATACCCTGCCAATGGAAATCAGCCCGGACGTGGTGTAGTGTTTTCTGAATGCCCTCATGGGTGGAGTTATGGATGCTGGAGACGATGGCGGGAATCAACGGGGAGTCTGGCGGAAGATGTACCCGGCCTTTATATAGTACCAACCCGTCAAGAAGGGACCAATTGGAGTCGGCGGCGCCGGACTGAATCTTTTGTACAAGGAGCGACCATTCTGGGGATTTTGGTGTTGCCTTCTTGATGTAATCTAACAGAGAGATCTGGGGTTGGGAAATTCCACACAAAGACATTGCGTCTTCATCGCGTCTAGACAAAGCATTCAGCTGCATGATTTGAGGATCCCGCCTTATATTCCACCCGGAAATCAAACTCGAGCAGTTTGCTAACCCAGTGCTACTGAGGGGAAGTGGTGAGTCGTTGCTCCAATAGGTACTTGAGGCTGTAGTGATCGGTTTTGACGACGAACGACCGCCCCCACAAGTACGGCCTCTAGTGCTGGACGGCGCTAGCTAGGACGATTAGTTCGCGCTCATAGGTTGGAAGTTTCAAATGTCGGTCGGCCAGCTTGTGGCTGAAGAAGGCAATCGGGTGCCCTTGCTGCTGTAATATGGCCCCGATACCCACTCTAGAGGCATCGCACTCGACAGTAAATTCGAGAGCGAAGTTTGGTAATTGCAGAACTGGGGTGGAGGACAGGGCATCTCTTAATGTCAAAAAAGCTGCATCGGYTGCGTCGTCCCACCGGAAGGAATTTTTCTTTAACAGGTTGGTTAACGGGGCAGCCAACAGTCCATAATTCTGCACAAATTTGCGATAGTAACCTGTTAACCCTAGGAACCCGTGTAAGGCCTTGGCGGATTGAGACTTGGGCCATTCCTTGATAGCTTGAAATTTGGAACTGTCAACCGTCACACCTTGCCCGTGGATGACGTGACCTAGATAAAGAACTTGCCGCTCCCCGAAGGAGCACTTGGACCATTTTAGGAAGAGTTTGTGTTGGCGCAGGAGCTCGAAAACGGTCCGCAGATGGTGCACATGTTCCACCCATGATTTGTTGTAAACGAGGATGTCATCAAAGAATACTAAAACAAATTTGCGCAGATGGGGCTGAAATACCTCGTTCATTAATGACTGGAATGTGGACGGGGTGTTGGTGAGACCGAATGGCATGACTAAAAATTCAAAGTGACCGTGATGGGTTCGAAAGGCAGTCTTCTTCACGTCTCCGGGAGCCATTTGGACCTGGAAATACCCGGACCTAAGGTCCAACTTGGAGAAGTACTGAGCGCCATGCAGCTCGTCCAGCAGTTCGTCCACAACGGGAATAGGAAACTTATCCTTGACCGTCCGGCTGTTGAGCTCTCTATAGTCAATGCAGAACCTCCAAGTTCCATCCTGTTTCACCACCAACAAGACCGGTGAAGAGAAGGAGTGGCTATTGTGTATGATCCCTTGTTTCAGCATCTCGGCACATTGTTTTTCTATTTCGTTCTTCTGTAGGTGAGGGTAGCGATAAGGCCGGACAACGACTGGTTCTGAACCCGCCACCAGAAGGATTCGATGATCGCATGCTCGGGGAGGAGGGAGTCCCTTGGGTTCCTGGAATACGTCTGAAAATTCAACGAGGAGTCTTTCCATGGATGTTGTATGCATTGTTTCTGTCTGAAGCGCATAAACCTGTGGTGTCTTCTCCTTTACCCTGCAACCGTGCCAAGAGACTTGCTTCCCTTTCAAGTGGAATGTCACTGTTAGTGTGCTGAAGTCCCATAAAATTGGACCTAGGGTGATCAACCATTTGACCCCAAGAACAATATCGAACCCATCCAAGGAAAGTACGAATAAATCAGCAGAGAATAGTTCAGAGTCGACCTGTATCTGGACATCCTTACAGATTCCCGGACTGTGAACCCTTTCACTGTTTGCAACGGCTACCTGTAGTCGTGGCCGGAGTTCCATTGGTAGTTTTAACTGAAGGGCGGCATGCTCACTTATGAAGTTGTGTGTGCTCCCTGAATCGATGAGTATGCGCACCGGATTACCTGCTATCTGTGCCTGTAACTGCATGGTCTGAGATGTTTTTATTCCGGTGATCATGTGGAGAGAGATCTCCGGCTCGAATACGACGGGTTCTTATTCGTCCTCCCCTTGCTCATCCACTAGGAAGCAAAAAAGCCTCTTGCACCTATGTCCCGCCGAGTAGAGGTCGTCGCAGTTGAAACATTGGCCCCTTGCTCGGCATTCTGCCATCTCGGCCCTGGTCAAACGCTTAATGGGTGGAGCTACCATGTTTCATCCTGCACTTGCTGCCGATCTAGAGGTGTTGTTTGTGTGAGGTCTCAGTTCCCGGCTGGTTGCAGAAGAAGGGGTCGTTGTCGCTGATTTCTAGGTTGCCCATGAAGTCGGCAGACGCCCCATTGTAGGCCCTGCGGCTGAGTTGCAGCTTGCGCTCAAACGCGCGGGCTAAGTTCATGGTTGTAACTAGGTTTGGAGGATTCTGCATCTCCACGTCCACCCGCAGGGGTTCTGCTAACCCTGCCATGAACATGTCGACCTGCTGGTTTGGTTGCATTGAAGATGCCCTCGCGAGGAGGGTCTGGAACTGGCGCTGGTATTCTGCCACCGTGCCGGTTTGTTTAAGGTTAATCAGCTCACCTAAGGGGTTGCTTGTCAGTGGGGGCCCAAACCTAAGAAGGCAGTAGGACTTGAACTAGGCCCAACTGAGTCCGGGTTCTTCCTGTTCTAATCGATAGAACTAGAGTTGCGCTTCTTCTGTTAAGTGAAAGGCGGCTAGGCTTACCTTATCCTGGTCGTCTGTCCGTTGATTTCGGAAAAACTGCTCGCACCGGTACAGCCAGCAGCCCAAGGGGTCTCCGTTGCCGTTGTACGACGGGAATTCTAACCTGCTGTACTTGGAGATGACTGCGGCCCCCTGGTTGACGAATTGCTGTTCACCGGAAGACTCCGGCAAATCTGGTCGGTGGCCTCTAGTGGCTGTCACCTCTTCTGTGTTCTTCTCTTTGCTAGCAAGGAATAACTCCATCAAACGTCGAAGCTCCCTGACTTCGTCCTTGATCTCACGTACTTCTGAGCTGGTCTCCACGAGCTGGTGCTTGAGATCGTGGACCCTGGACGGCAGCTGCTCCAGATCTCCCATGACGCCTTGCTCTAATACCAAGTTGTTGAGGGCCTGCGAATAGGATCTCGTCACGAGTCGGTCCACGGGGAAAACCTCCTGTTTTCCCTTGTTCCTCCCTGCTCTTGATGAACCTATCTTGGCGCCTTGGTGATTTGTTCAAGAGATCACCAACTCTCCTGACTCACTTCTGGACTGAATATTCGATGCCTTCATTCAATAATGGTGTCTCCTTAAATAGGAGATTACAAGAGTCCTAATCCTAGGGAGACTCCTTGCTGAATAGGGAGACCTCCTGCTCTATCTTGATAAGATAAGACTGATAGGATAAGATAAGTCTCTCTTAATCCTAATCTGATAAGATAAGATAATCTAATCTACTAATCTTAATAAGATAAGATAAGAACAAGTAAGATAGTCTAATCTAATCTGATAAGACTGTTGCTGCCGAACTGGGTAGGATGAGAACATTGGATCACTTCTGCTGCCGGCGGCAATGATATTTCTTCCCGAGGAACGCATCCATATCACTATGTGTCTCATATTATAGTTGGTTGATGCTGCTATTTGGCATCTGTAACTTAGGGTAACTAAGTTTATAGCAACTCTCTGGACGTAAGGTAGATTAGGGTAAATAATCTACCATCCCACAAGTCTGAGGCCAAACAAGAACGTGATGAAATCTAGGGAAGTATTAAAGAAGAAGTAGAGAGGTCTTGTTTGGAGTGTGCTTGGGCTGTTGAATTGATGACTTTTCTTTTTTTGGGTCTTTTTTTCTTCTTTACTTCTTAAGAAGGGTTAGGTTTGTTTTGGGCTTTTGATCTGAGGGTGATTGTATGGGGTTTGATTCTTGGTTGATTTTTCTTTATTTGGGTGGAGGGCTTGGTTTCAGAATTTTTTTTTCTATTCCTTGTTGGATTGGTTGATGATTCGAAGGTATAATTGGTTGATTCTTGGTTCATTTTCCTTATATCTTTCTTTTTGTTTTCTAATAAATTTTATTGTTTTTTTGATAAGCAGTGTAAAAGTATTGTATTAATAATCAAAAGGAGGGTGAGGCACCTCACTTCATGTAAAGTATTGTATCTTTCTTTTTTATTTTTCATCAAAAAGATAAATAAAAGTCTAAGGCCATTGCCCAATGTTGATCCTCTCTATCTGGGGTCTTGGGCAGGGTATACCAGATACGGTCCTAACCTTGGGCATTGTTTTTGCATAAAGCAGCTACTCTCATACTCAAGTTTGTGTTTAGTCCTAACCTTGGGCATTTTTTTTTACCATTACATACCAAGTAATGACCCTTTAACGAGAATAATGAGTTTATTTTTTCCTGCACATTTAGAAATTGGTTGTGTCCAAAATTTTACCATCAGATAAATCTAAAGAAATTAAGAAAAAAGAAAAAGAAGTCTATAAATCTGTTTCCGGAACCTGGATTTTAGGGGGATTTGGAATTGGAGTTGGAGTTGGAATTGGTCCCTACCCATGTTTAAATATTTGTTGAATTCCATGATCTGTAGTTGAATTAGAACTGGATATCCAATTGATTTTTTTTTATTTACAATTAGAACTTTTGAATTGAAAGTAGTTGATCAACCACCTAAAGGATAGAATCCTTGCTTGTCAATGTATTCAACATCCTCTCTCTCTCTCTCTCTCTCTCTCTCTCTCTCTCCCTCTCTCTTTGCATGAATCCTGTTTTGCCAATCCATTCTATTTAACGCCATATCCACTGTTAAATTAGTAATGCTTAAATCATTTCTTACTACTACCCATGTCCTTTTTGGTCTACTCCTAGCCCTTCTAGCCCCTTGTAACAAATCACTTCTTCTAACTTGTGTGTTGATGGTCATATATGCACAGTAGCTTTTGGTCATGTTTCTGCTATATTTTATTAAGAGCAATTTCATGTTTTATACCATTTATTTACAGATGAAGATCTTTCTGAAGGTAATCAAAACTGTCGCCCTGAGAGCAAAGAGTTCTGATACTATCAACATTGTGAAGGCTAAATTCTCTGACATGGAGGGTGTGGCTACAGATCTCCAAGAACTCTTCTTTGATGGAAATCACCTCAAGGAAGAAAAAAGATTGGCTGATTATGGTGTAAGGGATGGCTCAACCATCCATATGTTTCTCCATTCTACAGACAACATAAAAATACATATCAAGGCATCACAGATGAGAAAGGCAATTACCCTTCAGGTAAAGAAATGGGACACAATCAAGAATGTAAAAGCTAAAATTCGGGATGAAGGGATTCCATTGGATCATCATGATCTCATCCATGATGGAAAACAACTTGAGGATAGCCGAACTCTGGAAGATTATAACATCCAGAATGGGTCTAGTCTCTATGCAGTCTTTTGTACAGAAGACAGAATACACATCTTTGTCAATATGCCAATCGAAGGAACTATCAAACTGGATCTCAAAATATGGTATACCATTGAGAATGTCAAGGCCATGATTGAAAGTATGACAGGCATCTCAATGTGCAGGCAACGGTTGTTTTATAATAAAAGGGAACTTGAGGATTATCAGACATTGACCAATTATGGAATAATGAAGGAAACGGTCCTTGATATGGTGCTTGAAATGCAAATCTTTGTCAGGACACACATGGGAAAAACAATCACCATAATGGTCATAAGTGACGACACCATTGCAGACATCAAGTGTAAGATCCAAGACAAAGAGGGAATCCCACCAGCAGAACAAAGGCTCATTTATGCTGGGAAACAGCTCCAAGATGATCAAACCGTAATGCATTATGGTATCCAGAAAGATTCTACCCTTCAACTTGTCCTACGGCTCCGTTAGTTGGGATATTTGTTGGCCTCTATTTTGTGGCTATAGCAATTGGAGCTATGCATCTAGTACACTCACAGCTTATGGTGGTTTTTTTGGTTCTATCTTCTCCTGTCTATTATATCTTAGTAAATACTATGTGAGTTGGGAAAAAAGGTTGATTTCAGGTTGCTGACGCTTGTGGTTTGATGATTAGTTTTCATTTGGTATGTTATAACATGGTTTTTTTTTATTTCAGACAGAATCCTCTTTTGAAGCTACATGAGATCACATTTTTGTTTAGCAATCCCTAGCTTTTGAAACCAGAATATATATCATTTAAGCTGTGAATAATTGCAACTTGATAACTTATTTTGACAAAATTAGCCATTTCCATTCTTGAATGAAATCTATTTTATGCCACAGTTGTGATCTCAATTTCTATGACATCCAAACAAAGTTCCGTTCTAAGTATTGCTCCAAAAAGGCCCATTAGCATTTCAAAGCAGGAGGATTTTGTGGTAGAATCCTTTTGTTTGAGAACCACAATATGCCCCTGACTCCCTGTTTTCCCTGATGCAGATAAAAGGACAAAATGATCGCCCATCTCTTTCAAACTTTTTGACAGTTTCTATAGGCTATAGAAAATTATAAAAAATAATCAAATGATTTTTATTGAAGGAAAGAACCTGATACCAATAGTTTGGACCAAGGTTCAAAGTATCGACACGTATTGGCCGATATACGTATCATTCTGGGACCCCTCCGATACGCTCCTACAGCTGACCGATTCAGGGGGTGGAAGAGCCCTAAACCGGCCCCCCTGAATCGGTTGCAAAAATAAAAAATAAAAAAAGCAATAAAACACAATATCGATTTGCCCGATACGCCCCCGTATCAATATTTTCAACCTTGGTTTGGACCTTTGTTTCCACAACTCCAATAGCTACTATCAAAATAAAAAATAATAATAATAATAAAAAAAAACCCTCCACTAACAACTAAGTTCTCAAACCTTTAGCAGGCAATGTTTTAAAAGGTGTGTTTGAGGCGTGCCGAATTATGCAAACAAAATGCATTTTAAGGCTGAACCCAGATGCAGCCCCTTAAATGCACGTGTGCCTACTTTCTCACAGATGCACACCTTTTTGGAAATATGCATATCTATTTATTTGTAAATTTTTATGTATTTTGTACCTTGGTGATGGTTTATCAACCTGTAAATTTCCTTTTTATTGCTGGTTGCATATAATTAATGGTTTATTGACTTATAGAACCCTTGTTAATGTCCAATATCTGTAGGCCTGAGAAGTTGATAGCACCGCTGTGGCAACAGAGACCAAAAATGCAAGAATGGATTTCTTCAACCAGAGGTCTGATGGGGGTATAGGCCTAATCCATGAGACCCAACAGTTTCATCTTTTTCTTCCGTTGTTGTTACATGAAACTTATCATGCTCAACAGTTTAGCAATGAACTACAGACATCACTGGTCTGTAGGGGTATCGATGAAAAACCAAAAAACCGAATTGAACCGAACTGAGAAAATCGAACCAGAAAATGCAATTAATCGAATCGACCGGTATATATATTTATATGTATATTTTATATACTTTTAATATATGTCATATTTTCTATATATTATATATAAATATATATTCATTATATATAAAAATATATACATATATTATATTTATAATAATCTATTTATAAATATATTATATATACTATATATTTTTATAATATATTATATATCATTTATTATTTATAATATAATATTATACATATATTTATATAATATATATTATAAATATAAAAAACCGAAAAATCGAACCGGTCAAAAACCAAAACCTACTAACCAGTTAACCGATGATACAGATTATGTTTCGATTTAGGAAAATGGAAAAATCAATGATACCGATTCGATTTACAAAAACTGCCCATGATTCGATTAACCAAACCGTTAACACCTCTACTGGACTGAGCTGATATGTTAGGTGCGTTGCGCTCCTCTGAGAATACAGTCCAGGACTCCAGTGTTAGGTTTGTTCCTCAGACATAACATAATTACTAAATAAAAGAATCATAAAAGATAAATGCAAGAACTGGAAAAGTGAACTTATGAAGTTGAAGATGATAATGACCAACTGTTTACATTGGATTTAGAGGAGGAGGCACTGCAGCAAGTATTTGTTTGAAACATTTATTATTGAAACATGTGAAAATGTACTTCTCTACCCAAACGGATATACAAGTGCAAGTTTATAATTTTGCACTCGATGTCTACTTAAACTAACAGAAAGGAACTGTTTGTAAAAGACGGTAGATATTTTGGAAGGTAACAGGAGTTCACTTTTGCTACGGTGAGAGTTTTCCCTATATTGAAAACCCTACTCTTCATATCACCAGACTCCAATGTTAAGTTAGATGAGTTTAAATCTTGAGTGGGATATTCGAACCAATTAGCTTACTGTCATAATTCGAGACATTCTGTATAGAGAATGCCACTATTATGTCTTGGTTTCTCTGCTCGATGAAACCTAAAATTGCTAGGAGTGTATTAACATTCAAGTTTGGTTCTATAGATGTTTATTCAATAAATGCTGTCATATAGGCGTTATTTCAGCAGTTTTCCTCTCTTTCTCTTTAATATGCATCAAGAATGGAAAAAGTGGACTTTGGTTTTTGTGCATGCCTATCATTTGGGGAAGTTATTTTTTAAAGCTTCCTTAAATGGTCAGGCCGGCATTTTTTAACTGTTACGTTGATGTGGAGTCTAGTGATGCCTAGTGGCAACTAGTTATCATAAACGATTGTAATTATTATTTTTTTCGATTTTACAAACAAATAAAGTAAAAATTTAATCTCAACTTCCTCCAGTCTTGCCAAATATATAAAGATGATCAAAGTTCATACCTTCTTTCCTGATATTTTCAATGATTTTCTAGTACTCTTAACACAAACTCATCAAATCATTCCACATTACCTGTGACAGAAAAAGCAAAACAATTGCACTTTGTTAACAAGAATGAGATGTTAAGAAATTCACACATAGCCAATCAAACTATTGAACCAATTGACCTGGTTAGAGGGTCAAACAATTCTCACATTAGTTCTCTTTTTTCTAATTTTTGCATTTTAAATCCCATCATTAATAGAATAGTTGTTCTTTATTATTATTTTTTTTCATATGATGGATATAAAGTATTAGAGATGTTCCCATATTTTCCTAAAAAATTTTATATTTTTATTGTATTTTTATCTTTTTTTTAGTTTTTATTATTTAATTACAACATCAAGGTTAGCCTGTTGACCTTGACAGTTAAGCCATCGTCCTTATGGTTTTGAAAATCGGACTGGACTAGACAGATGAATCGGTTGACATGGGAACTGGTCATGGCTTCTAATCTGGTTTTCAACCCCAAAACCGCCTGACCGAGGTTCAGACTAGACTTTTGGACCATTTGACCCAAGAAACAATGGTCAAAGCAATTTCATTTTAGGTCCAGTTTTCAAAACCATGGTTAACCTACCACTTGGATGCAAAAAACCGTTTTACTTTTAATTTGATCTTAAATTTGGTATTCCATCACCATAACTAATAAAAATAGTTTTATTTTTTCACACTTCTTTTTATTTAATATGATAGATATATGATATTAAAGATGTGTCAAATGTATTCTACAAAATTTCTGTACCTTTTCATATTTTTTTGTTTCTCTTTTGTAAATATTTAGAATTTAATTATGACATCGTGGATCGACTATTTTGGCATTTTGCTCCAAAAGGTTGGACCATTGACCTACTACCTAGTAGGAAAATAGTTTTAATAAATTATGTATTTCATTTACAGCATTAATAATAATAATAATAATTCTTTTTATTATACTTATTTTTATTTAATAGGATAAGAATGGATCAACAATCTTACTTCTTAGACAGAAATTAGAGATTGAGAAGAAGGGGAAGAGAAGTATGGAAGATGGTGGCTAGGACCAGGAGGGCGGAACCAACAAATGGTGTCATAGTGGAAGCTAGGTTCACTGGTTCAATGAATTGGTGTTCCAGTATAGACGAGAGAGAGAGAGAGAGAGAGAGTAGGGTTTCAAAAGCAAAAGGGGGATGAAAAAACTTGATTTGGGTTTTGGGAGGGGAAATAAGTTTTGAATTGTAAAATAATTAATTTATAATATATATTAGGGCTTTCTAGAAAATAATTAACAAAATTCATTGACAAATTGGAATATGTTTATGAATAAATTGGTAAAGCAGTGTAATTATCAAGAAAAAAAGGTAAAGCAGTGAAAACGACAAAAAGTTAATTTTTGACCAAATTACCCTTTCTTACAAGCACACATATCCCATCTCTCTTTCTTGCTTCCCATTCTCTTGCTTTTTCCTACTTTCAATTAGGCCCACTTTTGATTTGTGGGGTAGGAGGGGAAAATATAGAATACATGGGGTTGCTTCCCATGTTTGGTTTGTGGAATGTCATAAGATGGGATGGGAAAAAACGTGGGATTCAACATCATTATCATAATCATCATCATCCATGCCTCATCCCAATTATATGGGGTTGGTTACATGAATCCTGTTTTACCACTTTGTCTATTTAAAGCCATATGCATTGTTAAATTATTAATGCTTAAATCATTTTTTACTATTTTTGCCCATGTCTCTTTTGGTCTACCCCTATCTCTTCTAGCCCCTTGAACTCCCACCATTTTGGAGGAAACTTAATAAAGAAAAAGAAGATCTTTGTAGTGTTTTTAAGAGTTACTATTATACCCATGACCTATTAATAAATTATTAAATATTTAATAAGACAATAATAAAGTACTAAATCATAAAAATATTATTAAATAATTCGTAATTATGTTATAATTAACAAAAATTGTAATAATTAATTAAGTAATTACTGAATAATTAAATAATTAGTTTTACTGATTTACTTAATAAATAAGTAATTAATTAAAATAACTAGTAATGMAAAATCAAAATTATCAATCAATTCATAATAAATATTAACTAATTAATAATTAATTCATTAATTAATTATCAATAGTCATTAATTAACTAATTAGTTATAAAGGCACTGAAAAAATATTAATAATTAATAATTAACTGATAAAAACTGAAATAATTAATGCTAATAAGTAATTAACTCATTATTAATATTAATAAATTAATAAATTTTATTTAATTCTTAATGAATAATAAAATACTAAATAACAAATATGTATTAATAATTAAAAAATT